CAAGATATGAAACATTTTCAACCATGCAATAAAATATAAATAGTCCTACAAATACTTTTATTTTATTTCCTTCTTATTTTTGTCTAAGCTCAAGGGAGCCAGAGCAGAGGGCTTAAAGGGCCGCATGCGGCTCATGGGCTGCCGACCCCTGTCCTAACCTATCAGGCTCTCCTCTCCTCTTTCTCTGCTTCGATCTCTCAGGCAAAAAGCACTTTCTTTCAAGATAAGATCCATTCCTCCTATTCCAATCCCAAAAAACTATTTTCCATCTTCTCCACCCTCTTGGACCCTCCCAAAGCCCCTTCCCTCTCATCTCTTCTTCCAAGCGACTTTGTTAACTACTTTGAAAAAAAGGTTGATGATATTCGCTCTTCTTTTTCTGACTCACCTTTACTCACCACTGGGTCACCAGACCCACCTTTCACCAACACACTGTCCTCCTTTTCCCCTCTCTCTTCAAGTGAGGTTCTTACCCTCATTACCTCTGCCCGCCCTACCACCTGTCCTCTGGACCCTCCTTCAGACTATCGCTCCTGATATTCTACCATTTTTCACCCATTTCATCCACACTTCTCTAACTTCTGGTCACTTTCCAAACAGTCTCAAGGAGGCAAGAGTAAACCCTCTCCTAAAGAAACCCACTCTCAACCCGTCTGATGTTATAAACTACAGGCCTGTCTCTCTCCTCCGATTCCTGTCTAAAACACTTGAACGCGCCAACTTTAAACAACTCTCCTGTTATCTCCATCAACAACCTTCTTGATCCGCACCAGTCTGGTTTCATGGCAGGTCACTCCACAGAAACTGCTCTCCTTGCTGTCTCTGAGGAACTGCACACTGCTAAAGCAGCCTCCCTCTCCTCTGTCATCATCCTTTTGGTCTGCTGCATTCGACACGGTGAATCATCAGATCCTCCTTCGCACTCTCCAAGAACTTGGAGTTTCAGGCTCTGCACTTTCCCTCCTCACCTCATACCTCGAAGACCGCACCTACAGGGTAACTTGGAGAGGGTCTGAGTCCAACCCTTGTCAATTAACTACAGGGGTCCCTCAGGGCTCTGTCCTTGGTCCCTTCCTCTTCTCTCTGTACACAAACTCGCTCGGATCAGTCATTAGCCTGCATGGTTTTTCATACCACTGCTACGCTGACGACACCCAATTAATTCTGTCTTTTCCCCGTTCAGAAACCCAGGTCGTCGCACGCATCTCTGCTTGTCTAGCGAACATCTCTCAGTGGATGTCTGCTCACCACCTCAAGCTCAACCTTGACAAGACTGAACTGCTTTTTCTTCCGGGAAAACAGTGTCCCACCCTTGACCTAACAATCAACATCGGCCCCTCTGTTGTTTCCCCGACTCAGACTGCAAGGAATCTGAGTGTGACCCTAGATAACAAACTGTCCTTCATTGCAAACATCGCTGCTACAACCCGCTGCTGCAGATACACGCTTTTCAACATCAGGAGTGGAGTGCACCAGCTGGGCGTAACTCTACGTCCGACGTAGAACCGAAGGTTAAGACCAAACTAAAGTTATGACTAGTGCACCACTTAGACTTAAGCCCTGTATGCGTTGCGCCCGGGTGTAACTTTTACGCCTAGTATGGAGCAGGCGTAAATCGGAAAGACAGACTAGTATCCATAGTAACGTAAAACAGGCAAGAAGGATATTAACGATGGCAGGGCGTCTTGTTTACATGTTTAACAATGAAAGGGCATTAAGAAGAGAAAGAGTCGTCCGTGATCAAACAAACCCACTGGACATCTATTCAGACAGTGAACTGATAGAGAGGTTTCGGCAGACAAGCCCTTTTTGATTTAATCGAGGAGATCTCCCCTCAACTCCAGCACGGATCAGATCGAAACGCTGTGCTCTCCCCAACCTTGCAGGTGCTGATTGCGCTCAGATTCAGAATTGTTTTGTGTTCCGCTCTCAATTTGACAGTCTCCACCTCCACACGAACGATTTATTTCTCCGTCAGTTCCCGCTGTAGCTCTGACAAATCCCTCTTTCTCTTTCGGGGTGTGGCCATTTGAGATTCCCCTTGAGTCATCGCTGACGCTGTGGGTGTGGGAATTCCCTCTTCTCTGCGGTCCTCTGAGTCTGTAAAATGGTAAAATGGCGTTGCTTGGTAACAATTACTGTTTCGCATGTATTCACGTGGACGCGCATCTTAAGACCAGGCGCAGCTACGCCCGAGACTAGTCAGGCTTGGTACATTCGAATCACTACGTCGGACGTAGCTAAGCCCGACGTTAGAGTTAAGCCCTACTTTTTAACGCCCAGCTGGTGCACTCCACTCCAGGAGGATACGTCCCCACCTGACCCAGAAAGCGACGCAACTTCTGGTCCAGGCTCTCGTCATCTCACGCCTAGACTACTGCAACTCCCTCCTGGCTGGTCTACCTGCATGTGCCAACCGACCTCTGCAGCTCATCCAGAATGCAGCGGCTCGTCTGGTCTTCAACCTTCCAAAATGTTCCCACACCACACCGCTCCACTGCTCCCTTCACTGGCTTCCAGTAACTGCAAGAATCCACTTCAAGACACTGGTACTTGCATACCATGCTGCAAATGGATCTGGCCCTTCCTACATCCAGGACATGGTTAAACCATACACGCCAGCACGTGCACTCGCTCGGCATCAGCCAAACGGCTCGCTGCACCCGCACTGCGAGGGGGACCCAAGTTTCCATCAGCAAAAACACGTTGATTTGCTATCCTGGCTCCAAAATGGTGGAATGAGCTCCCCATTGACATCAGGACAGTAGAAAGCCTACACATCTTCCGGCGCAGACTAAAAACTCATCTCTTTCGACTCCACTTTGAGCGATAGAACTATTAACAAAGCACTTATATACTAATAAAGGACTGGCTTATCTAAAGCCAGTTGAGTAGCACTTGAAATGTTTTGCCTCTCTGAAACCTGATGTACTTATATGATTCTGTTTTCTTCAAGTTTGTATCTTCTTAGTCGAATGCACTTATTGTAAGTCGCTTTGGACAAAAGCGTCAGCTAAACGCAATGTAATGTAGTGTGTGTGTGAGGTTCGTTTGAATTTTGGCCTACACGGCTCCTCATAGTAAACGTTTCCTTTATGTTTGTAGACAGCCCCACCTAGTGTCAGCAGAAAGTAATGCAAATAATAATTCAAAAAATATGCAAAAAATATATATGTTAAAATGTATTTCAAGATCATTTTTAGTCATCGGATTCGTCTGTATATTGCTGTTTTAGTCTGCGTTCACAGTGTGCATATTGAGCCGTGTTGAGCAATGTGGGGCAAGCCCCTCTCTCTGCTGTAGAAATTAATGGGTGCTGTAAAAACTACACTGTGCATGCTCAGAGTATTTTTCTATTCAATGTGTGCGGAAAAAAAAAAATCACCAGTGGGGCATAGTGCTGGCATACCTACCAAACGTCATCTCATAATTCTAGGGATGCACGATATTGTTTTTTTGAAACCGATACCGATAACTTCCTGCTTCTCAAGACCGATACCGATAACCGATAATATTATAATATATATATATGAAATGTACCTGTAGATTTTGCACACCTTGTGGTAAAAAAAAGACTAGTAGTGAGCAAATGACATGAGCATTACTACTATGAACAAAACTAACCCTGGGGTCGTCTCTGGCAAACTTCTTGCCTTTTTCAAAAGCCTCGTCGATAGGTAAAAGCCCCGGTGCCTTTGCAGCTGGCTTTGGATTTGCCGCTAGTTTAGCAGCGCAGGCGTCTTTGTACGCTTTTAACACACCATCGTAGCGATGGCGATGTTTCAGGTGACTAATCAGGTTGGAAGTATTATAGCTCGTTGCCTTTTTCCCTCCTCGTGGAACTTCTGCATTGCATTTGTTAATACAAATAGCAAGCAAACTATCTAACTCTGAAACTTTGAAATAGTCCCATACTACCGACGACATGTTTGTTTACTGTCCTGGCTTCACGGCCGCACACCATTTACGTCACAGCCAGGCATGAGTTAGGGAGCGCTGGATTTGTGAAAAACTCCCTTCTTCCTAAACCACTAATACCACAGTACTGGCAAAACGGGAGGAGCCGAGGGAAAAACAAGCGCCCCTCATCCCAATCCACCCACACCGCAGTATTTTTTCTTTTTTTTTACCCAAAAAATATATTGTATATTATCGGGGCTATTAATACTTGTATCGGGTTTATCGGGATGACGTCATAATTCCTAATATCGGACCGATAATTATCGGGCCGATAATTATCGTGCACCACTACATAATTCAGAGAGCTGATTGGCTGTAAGTACGTGTGACGCGAAAAGTGTAGTTTTCACCCAGAAGTGAAGAGGAGATGAGAGAGAGCAGCGTGTATAGCGATTAAAATCAGTAAAACGGAAAGAAAATGAATGAAGTTGACCATCTACTTCAGCTTTGGTAAGTTCATTTTACCAAAGCTGAAGTAGATCGTCAACTTCATTAATTTCCCCCCCCCCCCTCTCTCTATCGGAACCATGGATATATACACATCTAAGTTGTTCGTGCCACACCACTTTTGTACATATAAAAACGCCACTGAGAATGTCAAATCTTAATCTCCAGGTTGGTTTACTTAACATGCAGTTGTGGTTCTCACAGTCACATCCGATCCATGCTGAAGAACCCTCCATTTGGGATCCGGGTCTAAGTCCATCTTTGATGAAAGGGCTTGGATGAAAACTAGCAGCCACTTGTCTGCCGTCTACTACCACCGGCATCGGAGGATTCCAGCGCTAAGTCATGTGATTTACTCCGGAGCGCTGTACATTCGAATCTCCTTTCATCTCCATCCCAGTGATGAAATGAGCAACCATTACCCCTGTAAGAGATAGTATAAAACACAAGCAATGATTTACAAAGATCCCAATTATGCAGTGTAAACATCTGCATGCCATTTGTACACTGATGTCTTGAAACGCATTGTTATATATATATATGGGCCACGGGCAAAACGATGCACAAGCAAATGAAACAATCTACAAATCTGATGCATGTGATTTTACAGACTGAGCATTTGTTTATTCACATATTTACAGACAATCTGAGGGGAGAGAAAAGTTAAGGTCCGCATGGCGCAAACACGTCGATGTCAGATGGAGCCATTCGACGTTGTTGGCCTAATTATGTAATAAAAGGGGCATAAATGCTTTGAAGTCCTAAGTGCAGTTGTCAGTTTCTTTGAAGGCAAATAGTAATTGTCATGTTCACTGCCTCGCAAATCAAATCTTCTACACATGTTTCCTCCTCCCCCGAAGTCAAAGTCTGTGCCCTCCCTTCTGCATGTACGCACACCACAACAACCTTTACGGCAGCCTTGATCTGCTCGCTGCTCAGGGTCTGCCGGGCCCTCCACCCTTTCATGCCCGCTGCACTCACCCACATCTGGAGTTGGTCAAAGTCCTGAGCTCCCCAGGGAAAGACTTTAGTGGCCCCCCAAAAAGAAAAGTCCAACTCTGTCACTTCCTGGAATCCATACGGGAATGAAAAATGACCTGACATCCCCCTGTGGAGATGCACACAAAGATTCCTAGATCCCTTCCAAATGTTATCCTTAGGGTTAGAGTGTCTATGCATGCTGAAGGAATTTAAAATAGATATCATTTGTGTATATTGTACATTACATGCAACATGTTTTTAAATGGATATTTGGACAATATTTTAAAAAGATATATAGAGTAATACATTTGTTGGTGCTTTTTTAAAGAAACAAAGGTCGGGGGATAACTTTCAGAGTCTAAATTCAATTCTTATAACTTGTATATTTTCATAGATTAAAATAAGTAAAAACGACAACTTTTCTGATATCAATGTCATAACATTTGTGTATTTCTCTCAAGGAGACACACTTCACCACCATTGTTTTCTCTAAAATGTGTGAGATTTTTATAAAAATATGAAACCCTTCCCCCAGATCTGCAATTATTCTTCTCCAAGCCTACAATGGCCTTAATGCACTGTTGCAAACATATGGCTTTGTGAGTGAGTTTACCTTAGCCTGACCATATCATCAATAGCTATGTTACCAGACATTCTACAGCTTTTCTGCCTCCACACCTTGTGTCTATGTATTCACTTTAGGCTTTAGTGCATGTCTTTATGAATGGACGTGCCTCAGAGGAGTCCATTCTGCCTTTAAGTTGTAATAAAGGTTTTCCATAACATGATGAATTAACCCCAGGGCTACAAATCCCTTCTTCCTAGTCATTTGAATAGTGAGCTGGTCCAAGTAGATGTTATCCCCCCCCCTTGAAGTTCAAACTCATGTTAAATGACTTCCTTGTTCCTGTGCAATCTTTTCTGACTATGGTGTTGAAAACCAGGTGACTTGCCCTCGGGCGAGGCTTTATAAAGTCATATCCTGCATGCTGCATGAGATCCTTGTGGGCTAGCCTGGGTGTCTCAGACGTATGTCTAAGAGGTTTATCAGCTCGTGCCTCAGAGATTAGTCAGTGCTTACTAGCAGGATAATTGTACTCCAAACTGTACTTTTCAAGCCATTTCAGTGGCCCGTCTTGAAAAAAAGCCACCAACAGAAATAAGAAACCTCACCAGAGTTCTTAAATGAATACATAACTTTATTTAAATAAATGCTTTGTCATAACAAAGACAAAGGTTAAAAGAGTACATAAATTACAAGTTGAATAAATATTACACAGTGATATTCACTTTAATAATTTGAGATTTTTCCTCTTTTTTTTTTCTTATTCGTTTTATGTAGTTCCAAATACTGACCATTTTTATTTCCCACTGTCCTCCTGCCACCGATGGGTCCGTTTCACAAGCCAGTGATCACCAAATTATGAAAACCAATTGTATTGACCCATTACATCCAGAAAGCGTTATGTACTCAGAAAAAAGTTGTTTTGTATTGTTGTTACTGTACTACAAAAGTATGAAATATGAGTTTAAACCAAGTAGGAGAAACCTGAGGAAGTCACTACTCGCAAACAGGCGTGGGGAACAGGAAGTCATTATTATACTTTTTTAAGCCTGAACCTCCACCTGCAATCCAAACAACAGATTAAAGAAACACATGGAACATTGAAGTATTCACACAGATGATTGATCCGGACAGTGAATGGTCCCAGATATTTCCTAGTTAAAGTATTGTATTCCCCAGATCTCCGTGGTTCCTGTCAACTGTCCTGCTAACTGTTTCTAATGTCATGCAATTGGTGACCCCATATTGGGGAAGTGGCTAGGCCCATGGCGCACACTCTTCTTCTTCCCTTTCCCCTCCGTCTCTTTTATCTCAACTCTCTGTGCAATTGGCCATGAGAACATCTCTAGCTGCGTGTTACTTTAAATCTATTTTCCCTAAAGGATGTTGCTGTATTGGAGGTCCCAGGCATGGGCTGCACAGCCCCTGTCGACAAAAATCACCTCGAAGCTCCACCTTTAAAAGGTAAGCACAAGATAACCCAACATTTAGCTTTTGTGGCTGATTTTTGTATTACTTTTTTTCCGTTCCACCAACTTCATGATACCACATCTAAGGACGTCGTTGTGTGTAAATATCAATAATGAGTAACTGAAATAAGTGCAAGCTGCTTTTTTTTTCTTTTTTCGAAAGTGGTAGTGGGGATTTGGTGTTGGAAGTGGGGCAAAGAACCTTGATAAAATATTCACAACCGGAAGCCATTGAGGATGTACATAGCATTTCTGAAATACTTGATTCAACATCCATTGGCTTCCCCTCTCTGGCAATCATATACATTGGCATTTACATGAAAAAAGCAAGAATCATAGCTTATTGGTTGTCAAAGAAAGAGTTAAGGGAGGCTAACTGAGTGTGCTAACACAGCATCTCCCCAAACATCATTCTTATCCAGAATTGCCCCGAGGTACAAAGATTACTAATGGATTTGCTATGTGTTGCTGACGCCATTTACAGGACATTCATTGTTCTTCTTCTAACCAGAACTAAAACCTAGACCTCTTGATCGCTGTATCAGCCCTGGCACAGGCTGGCTGTCCTAAAGAGGAAATTGCCCCGTTTGATATCCATGTCACTTTCACGTCACTATTTAAATGTATTTGCATGAAGGAAGGCACTGTGACTTGCACACAGAGAGAGAACAACTCTACTTAATGACCCTGTTATAACCTGTAACCTTTCTACTTAAATCATGCTCCCTTTAGATATATAGCCTTAGCATGGAAGCATGTTAGCAAAGGGTTGCAGAGTGTTAGCTTGTTTGACCGCCCTGTAGTCTAAAGACTCTGGGTCATTCTCCTGACAAGGCTACAAGGACCTATTCAAATTCTTTACAGGCTAAAATATTTTTTGTTCCAAGCACAATTACATTGTTGTCATACTATGTTTCTACAGGAAAAAAAACAACATTCAATAACTATATTTAAAAGTAATACACCATGGTTACACTGTAGAAGCAGTACTGAGAGGAAACCACTTGATAAGGAACATGGCTCAAAAGTGAAGGCAAAGAAAACAGCACAAACAAAAACCATACAAAACTACACTTCACAAAACTGGATCAGAGAAGCAACTGGCCCGACTCTGAGCTCTGTGTCGCCCTGCATGGCAGTGTCTGTTTCAATAGGCACAGTTGGCATATCAGGCTAGCTACATTGTCGAAGAGCCACTTAACATAGGTTCATCTGTGACCATCTGCTTTACTCTTTTGTTTCCACCAATCACTGTCCCCGAGACAAACTTTACATCGGTTAAAGAGAAGGCCAGCCCCGAGACCACTTCAAGCGCTAGCAATACTTGTTGTGACAAAATCAAACAAAAGAGAAAGAAAAAAAAGGACTTTCTTTTCATAGTAGGCTCACTCCATCATTCACCAACACAGGCGGATACATACCACACGCACGCACTGTACACATCCACGCATTCATGCACGCATCATTTTGTGAAGTTACACATATCTAAGCAGGTTCCCCTATTCATAAGTGCTCTGACAAAACCACATACCCAGATAGAGTCAACTGTTACAGCATATCCCTATCTATTATTTGTTCCTTTTCAAATAAAACCCAATTACTCTGCCAATTTTCAGTTCCACAGTGGCATCATGTTGCACAACCTAAAACTGATCTGTTTTCAACCAATGTGCCTGATACATTTTTTTCTTCACAATGATTTTGCGATAATTTTACATCATACAAGTATTGAAACCCCCAGCTTCCATACAAATATTTCTGTAATGTGCATATATTTTCATTGATCTGCAACCAGGGGACCCGCCTCAGACAAAGGGGTCCCATGGGCAAGATTCAAGGGATCGAGTAAATCTTCTGGGACTGTTCCGCTCATTCAGAGAAGAGTACTTGGTCAACACAAATATATAAAAGAAAACAAATACAGGTGTCTTTTTTTCAGCCTGTTCTTTCGTTTGGATTTTTTTCTTCCTTTTTTTTTTTCAACTTGAAAAAATCTTGATGTGAATGGAGGGCGGAGCATACAGATGTGATACAGAGGGGAGGCGTGGGCCCTGGGTCACGTGGTGGTTAGGGTTCGGGGGGGGTGGGGGTCAAGGGTGGTCCTCCCCTTTTCACTCGTTGTTGTTGTTGTTGCTGTTCTCCAGGTCTTTACATTGAATGTCTCCGCCGCTGTAGTCTGTGCCGGGGAGCTGAACGCCGTACTTGTCCACACACCAGCAGATGCCTCGTTTGCGTCCGCGGGATGGCTTGCACTGTGGGACAGAAAACAAAATTATAGTTGTGATGTAGTGAGGTGAAAATGTTGCAAAGGGTAAAGATCTAGAAAATGGTGCAGCAAAGTTTATTTGCACATCTATGCTAGTAGCTTGGTAGCATATATGGCGTTTCCACTGAATGGTTTTTGCTTCGCTCGACTCAACTCACTTTTTGTGCCAGGTCCTTTTTTCTATAGGGGATTATGTCCTTATTGCTATTGCTACTCCTGCTATAGCTATGTTCCATGAAAACGTCCTTTAATAGATCTTCAATCCAATCACTATTGATGGTAACTTGGCTATTCAGAACTGGCGAGTTTTGGCCCTGGTTGAGCCAGTGAAGTTTGACTTGGTGGTCTGCAGTCTTTAAACTTCACCATCTGGCATCCACAAAGCTTGCTTGGAGACTGGACTGAGATGGTAGCAAAGAAGTAATAGGGAGTATACACAACTTTTGCTTATGGTGAACCACGTAATAGCTAGTGGAGTTAAGTTAAGCTAAGTCATATCATGCAGTGGAAATGTGGCTTTAGTTACTTCCTGAATTGCTAGTTTTTAAACGTTTGTACCTAACAGGCTAATGCTTAACATGCTAGCCAGCTTACCAACATGTTTGCACTAGTTAGTCACAATGGCGGCCACAAAAGCTCTTTAAATCTAGCTTGCTAGCAAACTATCAGCCAGCTAACAAGGTAAGAAGCTCCTTGACTGGTTTCTTGACAGGTCAATGACCAACAGTTCACAACAAACAATTTAGCTAATTTATTTTGCTTGCCAATGCAAGCAAACTAACTGAACATTTTTTTAAATGCTGGTGTGACCTTTTAGGTAAAGTACTTGGAAAGAGGGTGAAAAAAAAGACAACAATGTTTGTAAACACAAATATCGATTTTGGAAAGCCTTCTAATTGTAAAGACTTTTCTGAAGCAAACCCACCTGCTTGCGCTTGAAGAAACCTTTTCTGTCACAGTTGGGAAGGTACAAAGACAGGGCCATTACACGAGAAGTGTCCTTCATTCCCTGAATGATCCCATCCAGTTTTCTCCGGCATGGACCCTTTGAGGAAAGACAGATTTGGGTTACAAATAGTGAGCAAAGGGGATGAAACAAACCCTTAGTAATTCAAAACTCAAATTAAAAACACTTGAACTACTACTATTCATACTACTATTAGGAGTCTGCAAAGTAGTTCAACCTACACCATTATGATAAAGGCTCAAACTGACAATGAAAACGTACAAATTCAGGCTCATGCTTGTCAATGGGCAGAGGGGAGTAGTCCATGGGGGAGCCAATGGAGCGCTGCTTGCCGAGCTTCCTCCTCTGCTCCTTGCGCAGCGCGAGGACTTTTTTGCTGTTCACAATGTCTTTGGGAAGGAGTGGCACTTTAGCAGAATGCAGCTCCTCTGTAATCTCTGTGGTAATGGTGTCCTCATGCTCCCGAGACTCACGATCTGCAGCGGAGCAAATAAAAAACGGTCAATTAATGTCACAGTTTTAAACCCACAACCAAGCTTCAGCTTTACATTAATGCATTTGCGTTAATATGTGTATAACACATAATATGAAAAGTGTTTCCCACTGGCTGGCTTGTTATGCCTGCCCTCTTTTGGAAATTAAAAAGGGGTTTGAATGGGTTTAATAAAACTGCCTCACGTTAATCTCCATAAGCTGTAAACACAACATTGACTAAATGTAAGTTTGTAATTGACTAGAGCCATGCAAATGGTTAACACCAAACTCCCCGTTTAGACCCTTAAATCTATATTTAAAATAGAGCTGTTCCCCACTTTGCTGGGAATTTCCCCTGTGTTCGTTTATTTAATCCCTAGCGTCATTATTTCATGATGAAACAAGTCTTACAATTTTATTTGAACAAGAACATAAAATTCAGGAATGAAAAATGTCTCTGGAAAGGGTAATGTCCTAACTAATTATAGTCATCATAGACCTGTAATTAAGTATTACGAGGAACCAGTAGAATGTTGATGTAGGATTTATGTTTACAATGTTTAACAGTCACTTAAAAAAAATGCTATCTGCATAATTTAGAAAAGGTTCTGCAGCTAGTTGGTCCTCAACCATAAATCTCTGGTGCTTTTCCCAGGGTCTGTGCCACCAACTGTTGCTTGCCATTTGTTTATAGAGGAGGGGATATTGACATCTGATGAACTCCTACAGCTCACGCAGGAGTTTTACCTCCCAATCTCCTTACTCTACCTCTTAAAACATTTGAAAAGTCATGCAAAACTTCCCTCCATGTAAGACCACTCAGCGCTGGTCTGCATCCATAAAAACAGAGATTTCCTTTTGGTCTTAAAGTCAGTTAAGGTCGCACATAAACACAGATATACCAAATATTTGTAAGCATACATATCTCTACAACTATGAGGTTGTTGCTCAGTGGCTAGTGTGCTGGACTTCGAATCAGGGGATAGCATGTTCGAGTCCCACTGCAGTCAGCATGTCGATGTGTCCCTGGGCAAGACACTTCACCCCAAATTGCTCCTGTGGGGATTGTCCACAGAACTGAATGTATGTAAGTCGCTTTGGATAAAAGTGTCTAACAAATGACATGTAATGTAATGACATGTCAACTTTGGAAAACTGCATCATATGTTGCATTGGAGTATCTAGAAGATTTGCTAACACGTTATCTGGAACACTGCAACAGGGACTTAGGCCTCGGAGTGTCGTAACTTTGCAGCGACGTGGCCCACATTACACTGATTCAAATGTCAAGCTGAGGAAAATCCAGTTGCTCCGTGGACTCATATAAATGCTTTCACATTTCTGTCCCATTTTATGCGCCTCTTAGACGTAATATCAGCTCCCCCAGGGGGCACTATAGTCTCTTGATAGGATGTTCACAGGTTTAGGTCCTTTATCCTTAACATAGCAGCCCCCCCCCCCCCCCTACTCCTATGTTTGGGGCTCAGCCTCTTAATCTTGGACCCCCAGCCAGAGGTTCTTTGAGGGCACAGAAAGAAGCCCTGAGCTCCCCCCCCCCTTGGCTTAGCTGTACCATAAGTACAGAGTTATTGTGGGGACTCTGCCAGGCCCCAACTGGCTGAAGCCACGGTGCCAGTGGATGACCCTGGTTATTTTTATCTGACAAGGAAACCCGCCGTGGTGCACACGGCCAGACGCACTGAACCAGAGAGGAATGTTGGCTACTGACTATAGGCCAACTGCTGCTGAGAGACATACTTGTATACGGACGAGAAAGAGAAACACGGGTAATAAGATTGTTGCCATTACTTTGCTGACTGGCCTGTTAGTACACAGCCACCATAGAGAAAGGCACTGAGACGTAACAAGGACACGGGCTCCGTGAAACTGATGTTCAAAGAGCCTGACACAGCATGAGCGTCTGGAGTCTGTGGGAGGGGAAGAGGGGGGGCAGGGTGATTACCAGAATTGGGTCTTTGGCTTCTGCGCTGAACTGCCGTCTCTTTGAAATTAATCGCACAACTCATGACTTGGCAAGCCTTGGTTTGTGTTTAGATATGTCTTTGTGTCTCCCCCGCTCAGACTACGAGGCTATTACTCGCTATAAATAAATACGTCAAACAAGCATTCCGATGCACGCCGGGGCTGTGACCACTGCGGAAAAAGACTTCATTTCAGCCGCCCAGTCCAATAACTGCTTGATTAAAATGCCACATATTTGGCTGTTGAAAAATATGTGCGCGTTATTTTTTTACATGCATTCTTGCTTCATTTGTAATCTAATTTGAGCATATAAATGGCCAGACTAATAAAGGTCCAGCCATGCCACATCAGTTTTATCCACCTTACCTCACAGGATATATTTTACTTTTAATTAAAAAACTATTTTCTTATGTATAAAGTACACTATTTTTATATGTTGAGTAGATTCGAGAGTATTCTTATAATCTGTATATTTTATAGTGTTTAGATAGTCTTCTGAATATATGAGTTTCTTTTGTTAGTTTTTTTTAAGACCTTTCTGTAATTCTTGTACATTAACTGTCAAAATGCTCCTCTGACAAAACAATTTCCCAATTTGGGATTAATAATATCTGTACCTATCTATTTCTCTATCATATTATAAGTCACTCACTTTTAGAATGGTGTAAGGACAGAAAAATAGTTTTTGTCTCGATCTTTAAAAACAAAGCAGCTTTTCTGAAGACAATGGTGTTTGACTTTTTTTCTCCTACACTCATAAAATCACCAAATTCATCTTTTCTGAAGTAGGCTCTCCGGCGCAGCCACAAAAACTCAGTTTTTCCATGCTCAGGGTACCCAGCTTGTAAAGGAGGCTTAGAGGGTCTGTGTTTAACTCCTGAAACTCAGCCAAGACGCTGGACAGGAGCCAAGTGAGCCGAGTCATGTGCAGCTCTGCCATTCAGCTGAGCCCAAAGCTGAGCTGCTATCTCTCTCCCCTCTCTGCTCAGGCTAAACATTTCACGAGGACGAGAGGAGCAGAGTAGCCAAAGGAGGTGCACCTGATACTTCTCTGTTTAAAAATTAACATCTGCACACAATTATGCTTCATGAGTATCCCAAGTTTCTTACCGGCAACAGTCCAGGCATGAAAGATAAGTTACCTCGTCTTTAGATTTTCCTCTCCTCCATATCCTAACAATACAGCAAAAAAAGCATTACCAGACAATAGATTATCCCACCTTTCGTTTGAGGTCCAACCATTACAACACTGTTATACCCTGCCTTTGATTAAGTGCGCTTGCATCTGATATTACATCTTTACAAGACGTAAGAGACGGTTGAATAGATGTGCCGATTAATCTCAACAGGGGGTAAGACAAGATCATGTAGGAACAAATGAGCCTGTGGGCCTGTGTCACTTGAAGCATGAGTAAACCATCCTTCCGCCTCAGACAGCCTCCGCTACTTAATATTTGAAAGCAAGGTCATGGCCTGATAGCCCTGCAGTTTCTAGAGCAGAAAGGGAGGTGTGAACAAACCAGAAGAGTTGTGCAAGTCACAGAGGATGCATTAACAGCTGCACAAAAGTGAAGTCCCAATGACCAAAGGAATATAGGTCATAGAGGCTTTTGAAACATGGGGTAAAAGTAACTTTTGCTAAAACTCTTCAGTAGCAGAATAATTTGCAGATACAATGACAAGGTCAGTAACAATTCTGGAGTGGCCAGTTGCATTTTCATGACAGATAAGATACACCCTGTGCACATCTGACAACAGTGCACAAAGCCTGGTTACATGAGAAGACAGACTATTCCAAACCAATTGGAGATGTAGGAAATTATGGGCTTCATCAAATGCTGTGTCCATGAGTTGCATCTTTGATCACCCCCGACTGCAAGGGACTTATGTTTTTGACCCTCATGTACTTTTGTTGCCATGGAATCTCAGTTGTTGGACCCAGTGCGTGGTCTCCGGCAGCTTCTAAAAAATGCAGGAAATAACTCTTCCCATGGTATTGTGCACACATAATATGTTTGTTGCAATCAAAAAGTTTGCTGCTTTTCTGAATGCACGGTATAAATAGCAACAAGAAGAATTCAAGGATTGTAAATCACAAAACAGGACTTATGAGAGGATGCAAAATCTTTCCAAGAGGGAAATGCTGATGTAGGTAAGCAAACTTTCTGACCTGTTTACCCTTACCCTTACCCACTCCCCATTTTCCCTCTGCTGGTCTATGGCCTTGTAGAGGGTAACAGGATACAGAGTCGCTTAGATAAGCGGGGGAGTGCATCTGACGAAGAGGTTGTTGTGCTCCCTATCTCTGTTTCTTATCCTATATCTAATAGAACTGCTCGGGTCTTGATAGATTGAGTGGGGAAGTTCATGAGATCTTTCTAGAGGGTTATCAAGAATAACTTTTATCCAATGACCTTTTCCCTCTCTGTCTGTGTCTGTGTATTCTCTTGTTCCGATTAACCCAGCCAAATCTTTTTTCTTGTTTTGTATCTATATCTACGCCGGGATCTGGAGTCGAGGCTGATCCTGTTGCTGTAGTCCTGTGTCTTGGATCCTCTATCCCGAGTTCTGGATTAAGTCGTGGACTTCGGGTCGTGGCTGAACCTGTCTCTGCGGTCCTGCCTGGGTCTCGTCATGCTGCTTCCCTGATGGCTTCCACAGGATTGTAGCTGACATCCTCGTGGATTCATCTTCTTATTACAGACACATGCATTTCCTAACATTCGGTCTATATGCTGTAAAATGTATTATCTCTTCGATTTACACACGGCATCTATTGCACGTCTGTCCGTCCTGGGAGAGGGATCCCTCCTCTGTTGCTCTCCCTGAGGTTTCTCCCATTTTTCCCTTTAAACTGTGGGTTTTCTCTGGAAGTTTTTCCTTGTACGATGTGAGGGTCTAAGGATAGAGGGTGTCGTTTTTCTCATACTGATATTCTGAACAATCTGTGCTGTTGTATTTGCTGTAAAGTGTCTCTACTGTAGGCTATTTTTATTATATGTACAGCACTTTGGCTCGAGCAAAAATCGTTTATAAATGTGCTATATAAATAAAACTTGATTTGATTTACAGCTTCCGCTGATAAAAGCTTGGTTCATGTTGCAACCCGGTCATGTGAAAATCACATAATCAGGGAGAGGTGCATATTTATTCTACTGTACATTCCTAGCAATGTCTTTTCTTTTTTTTTTAAGTAACATGGATGGACACAACCTCTTTTTGGGTCAACTTCACCACAACACAATTGCTGGGTGCAACCATGTTCTATCCCTCCAGTGGCATAACAAATATATTTTGGCGAGAGTTTAGAACTTCTGGTTGTAATAGACAAGAACAAGAACTTTTAGGTCTTGCCTTCAATCCTGCCTTGCCTCAATATGGAGACTTTTAGTTTTGTACCACGGTTGCCCTTCATACCAACAGTGTTGGATATGGCTTGATGAATCTGTGCCATCTGAGTAGACCTAGATTAAAGTCCAGGAAACAACTGTTCTCTTTTCAACAACTGACGCCCGGCCTGGCCTGGTTTCTACAAAGTTCTTCTCAAGCGTGCATGCTAATGACCAAGAGCATGTTTGCCATCTTTAGACTTTGGCAAACGGATGGTTTCTAGGGGTCACTCTGGGCACTTAGATGAGAAAGATCTGGCAAGCTAAACAAGAGAATGCTTGATTTAAAGTTTTGTACGCTTGTGGTGCTGTTTGCTATGCGAAGGGAGACTATGGCTTCAAAGTTGGCAAAATTGTGAATGAATCATGAATCAATTAGTAGCAAGCATCGGACCAAGCTCTGACCTTGAGATACTCTGGACATGTGGTTGATGCTGAAATGGAACCTGGAGTCTTTCGATAATGATAATGCACCCGTCATCCCCATGCCTTCTGATTAGATGTTTGTACCCAGATGAACAGTCATCAGTGTAGTCCTGGTTTGCAGGGATTAGTCTATTGATACATTGTTTAAAGTATAAGTGCTGAAGAATATGCGTTAGCACGTTAGAAATGAACGATAGGCAATGAGGGACAATCAAGTGGTAAAATAATGACTTTATTGTTTTAAATCGAAAGTAGGCAGCAATCAGGATCGAAGAACCAACGATCCTAGCTCCCAATATCTCCGAGCTAGCTAAGGCAAAGAAAGCCTGGCTTTTGGAACTAGTTTTGTAGAACAGCCCTTAAGGTGTTGGTTGCAGGGTTACAGTACTCAGGTCAGGTTAACACGTGAGCCCAGCATGAGGCCATCCCTGTGCTTATTGAATCACATGCTTCTATAGCGTAGAAAGACTACAGTGAGTGCTGATTTCTTCCACAGCTGGTTCCACCAGCAGGCTAGGTGTCAGTGACCAATAAGCTGTACAAATACCACTGTAAAGTTTTACAGGGAGAAATCAGGCAAGTGTGCCAAAAAGGTTATGTGTTTGCCAGCGACAGCTCTACTGCTGTACACCCTATGGCCATGCACCTAATGCTATGTGCAGACAAAAGCAGTTATACAATGGTATCAATGTCACATCTAAGGAACCAGGTCCTCTTTATTTTCTTGGCGTCGCATTTTCCACCAATTGCATGCTTCTTTTCTATCTTGAAGTCCTCGACAAAGTGACCTTTCTAATAATTCTCCCAAGCACCTGCAACAGATCAGTTGCATCATGCTAAGCTTTCACTGCGCTATCTCAGATGTTCAAGGTGAGACGGATGGAAAGCCACATACAGTCTTTCCTTTCGCATGAGCCTGTCATGAAGCTGTCGGGCAGCTGGGGCCACACGTGACCTGGCTATATCTAATGTGGCATGTCTGTATGAGCACGCAACGTCCACAGGGGTCGGAACACGGTGGCTGGTTGTCATTAGCCCGAGTGTACGGTCGGAGAATATCAGCGTTTTACCAATGGCTTCGGTTTCTCGGCTGCGACGCAATAACCAGCTGCGTCGTCGGTGAGGCTGCAGACATGGAAAAAGCAGATGGTGGTTCTAAATGTTAAAGAGCTTTCTAAACTAAAGTGATGACAAGCGATTCTGTATGCTGCTTAGATATGACAAGGCAGTGTGGCCATACATATGTAGAGTTCTCTTGAAAAGTATGCAGTCGCTTGATGTACTCGATTGATTGTAAATACCAATGGAAATGTGTCTGAAAACTGTCTGGCAACAAGTTTAAAATGCACATGTAAAGAGCCAAGACAAATGTAAAATATTACAGCTGTCAGTTAAGGCACCAGGTTTCCGGTTGCAATGCTAATAAGGGGCATAGTATTTCTGCCCGTATGTGTGGAGTATTCTTGAATTGGAACCATGCACTCCCTAATCATCTTTTGTTTCTTGGCACAGAGCAATCCGTTAAAACATAGGACCCTTTCAGAAGCTTGAAGGACGAGGGGCCTGCTGCTATGAAGTCATATCTGTTGGCAAGCTTTCCCGGGTCTGATTCACCCGAAGGGGGCTAACAAAGTTTGAGTGCCCCCACAGCCTTACAATCTAAGCAACCCCTGGGCTCATAGTCCAAGAGCAAAACGTGAATTAATGCACTTCTGGGATACAGAGAAATGGCCTGGGCTCTTTTTTCTTACAAGTGAAGAAGGGAGGGGGGTTGGGGCTGTAGGATAGCAAATATTCCTCTCTCCCATTGTTTGGCTGCCCCAGTCAATATTTAGTAGGCTGCGACATTTGAGCTCCTCCTCCCTGTGTTTGGCTTTGCTCAGCTGGTAAAGCACACAGAGACAGCTGCAACCCCACACCACAGGAAACCAGAAGCTCACCTCACCAGTACCCGTCGGGCGGAGCTGCTTGACAGAAGGCCCTAGAGGGAAGACAGAGAGGGCCAGAGGCATTCTGCTGAATCACTGCGTTGTGACTGAGCGCCCATGCAATGAATGCAGCGCCAGAGGCAGGAAAAGATGCTCTGATTACCTCTGAGGGCCAACAAAGAAGTCAGATGATGTGTGTGTGTGTGTGTGTGTGTGTGTGTGTGTGTGTGTGTGTGTGTGTGTGTGTGTGTGTGTGTGTGTGTGTGTGTGTGTGTGTGTGTGTGTGTGTGTGTGTGTGTGTGTGTGTGTGTGTGTGTGTGTGTGTGTGTGTGTGCAAAGCAGGAGTGAGACAAAACTGCCCGAGGTGTCATCATTCAATCACACACAATACACACCACAGCCCCGCCCGAGCACGCAAACACACGCACACACACACACAACTGGGAATGATCAGTTATTTTAGCTTTGCTAGCTCCCATTTGTATTTTTCCGAGCAATTGGAAGAATGGCAGTCCCAGACAAACATCATTGTGCTGTAATGTCATTACAAGGAGAGGTGTTCGGCTCACTGGGTGCAAAGGGCCTAATGACTGTCAACAGCCAAAATGAGCCCAGTGGCATCCCATTTTATAGAATGAGGCATGTAGCCAAACCCTTTGTGGTTACCACCTACTTATCTACTTGTTGACAAGCTGCTAAAGGTCTGAGTGACAGTGAAGCTCTCCGCTACACTGAGAAATGCCTTAAATCACTCAAAGCTGCTACCTCCACTCTCTTTCTGTCTGAACATCTCCATGTCTCTCTCACGCATACAGTATAGAGGGTGTCGTTTTTCTCATACTGATATTCTGAACAATCTGTGCTGTTGTATTTGCTGTAAAGTGTCTCTACTGTAGGCTATTTTTATTATATGTACAGCACTTTGGCTCGACCAAAAATCGTTTATAAATGTGCTATATAAATAAAACTTGATTTGATTTGATACAGATTTAGAGGTAATCCGACTCTGAGGGTAGCCTGCGGACCTATCTGATTTGAATTCAGCTTCAACTACGCAGAGGCACCTCTTTCTTTCAGATGTCAATCTACTCACTCTTTATTCGTGTCGTGCCTCCGTAGACTTGTCTCAAGGTGCGAATGATATTTGAAAGGCGAGAAATGAAAGATATAAAAAAACCTAATGCGCTCTGGCGCGGGGATGGAAAATAGTGAGGTTTGACAGACACTTGTTACACGAGTGGATATTAAAAAGGCGGCAATTAGCAGAATGAGCTCTACTTTAGGGGTTCCAACAATTTCCCCTTTAATATCCTTTATATAAATACACTATCACACCTTTTCATTAAGTGTTTAGACCTTTTTTTGGCATCAGGATAACAAACCTCTTGAGAGAAATGCGTGTAATGATCGGCTCTGCTTTAACATGGAAATATTTTCTGGATCATTGTCAGCTACGATCTCCTGGGTCTCTGTAGACCGCAGTTTGACAGCCGCCGCCCCGCACCAAAGGCTCAAATCAGCCGGGACACCTCATGCGTTTTACCCGCAGCGGAGCGAGCAGCCGCCCGCAACAGATTAACCACAAACACCGTGCGCACACCCGGACTATTTATCCACTTTGTGTGTTTCTAATATGATGATTCATAACCGACAAGCAAATCAACAGGGTTACAGCTTGATGGTGAACCTGAGGTGCATTTTCTGAGGCGGAATAAGCTCCTGCAGCCAGTTTAATCAATGGATAAAAGTTAATCATATGGCACCTCAAACCATCTGTCAAACACGCGCTCTGACAGACAGCATGGAGAAAGAAGGGAACCACATGACAACAAATGTAATATCTGCAAACGTTTTAAGATGAAAAAACTAGATAGTGGAATTATGTATCCCATAATATGATGCACTTTTACGCTGCACAAGTTGATCCGGAGCATGCATGGAGACGGTGGTCCGGTGCGCTCTTACCTATGGGCGGGTGCGAAGGTTTGTATCCTTTCTCGTTGGTGCACACTCCCCTGCCGTGGAGCAGCGCGTGCAGGGGCTTCTCCTCCCCGCTCCTGGGCAGGCAGCGGAGCCCCTGAGTGCACGTCCCGGTGTACACGCCGCACGCCTGCCCCTCAGACAGGGCGCATGTGAGGCAGCAGCCGCAGCCCGGCTCCTTCACCAGCTGGCAGCCGACGGGCACCGGAGGGCACATGGACAGCGCCTTCTGGTCACACGGCTCGCACGGCACGTATGAGCCCAAGCACCCGGACAGCCCCAAGATAAATGTCACCAAGAGACAGAAACTAAGAAACATTGTTCTTCAGTTTTAGCATAAAACCTCAAATGCGAAGAGGATGGGGGAAAAGTAGACTAATGAGCACAATGCCTCTGTCAGATAATCCGATTTAAAAAAAAAAGCTAAAGCCAAGAGTCTTTATCCAAGAAGAGTGTTGCTATCTGTTTCAAAAACATTAATTACAAGCTCTGCAGTGCACCCTGCAAAAAAAGTCAAATATGTGCTTTTTTTTCTTCTCCAAGGTGTTGTCCTCTGCAGGAGAAGGGATACTCTGCACAAAATCTCTCTCCTCTTCAGGATTTGGACTCCAGTACTTTCTCCAGCAGAAGTTTCCTGAGCAGACTGATCAACTGAAGCGCTGCCTTGCCTTTATAAAAACAGCCGAGCCCAAACCCCTAACTATGAATACGCTAAACAGCAGGGAAGGGAGGCACTTGTTTCTTTGGCAGGCGGCCAGCTCTTTTTTTCAGCAGCAGGAGGATCGCTCTTTCACCCTGAAGGCTCAACTGATGCCGAGGTGCAAGAGACAACAGTAACAAAAAGTATCGTGAACACATCTCAGCATAGAGACCAATCTGCAGGCTTCCACTGTCTGTAGATTCATATTATTCATAGTAGAGCTTTCAAGTGCGTCACACTGCAAGCAATTATATTTTCAACAAGTCAAACACATGCTTATTTCTACACAAGGGGGATTATTCTCCTGGAGAAGCAGCTTAAATAATGATAATTACTTCTCAAATTTATAATAATTTGACCATTTCCCAAATGTTCTTTACATAAGTAAAGGTAAAATGCATAAGAGAGAACTCCTAAGTAGCCCCTGCCTGCATCAGAAAATATCCCAAAAATATCCTTATCCATTATCCATGGTTGGAGAAAAAGAAGAACCGGAATGACCATATGTGTATTCATTATTGAATCACTCTCTTACAAAGCTGGAACATGGATTTGCAAATTATTTATTTTTGTTACACTTTCCATGCTTTTTGTTTGGTTAACACTCACAGGGATGCCTGCTCAGGGCTATAAGTCACCTTTAAATCCTGCACCTGTTGCTTCCATTGGACATAATTTGTTTTACAAATGTAGTGAGAAGGGAACTCCACCAACATGTATCTCTCTGTCTCTCTCTCTCACACATATACAGAGAGAGCCAGAAGAAAGAGAGAAAGAAAGGGGGGGGAGAAACATGTCACGAACTTTGAGATTTGAAGCAGCAGCCTGACAACTTAAGTGCAACTGGGCTCTATTATTTTATAGCCTGCATGCAGAATAATGCCTGATTGCTTCAGCGTGTGTTCTAACTTGCACCACATATGCACTCTAAATCAGCGCTGGATGGGAGCTGTTATTCCCGTCTCTTCAGCTTTTTCAGGGCAGATTTTTCTTCCTCAAGTTAAAGCGCAGTGTCAGGAAATTGTATCAGTTGTCCACTCACGGCTTGATAAACGGCCACACGGTCATTCCCTGAAAGTCATCATGTTGTCTAACCATGCTGAGGCTGAGGATCCACAGAGAGAGGATTTATTGCAGTGGACGACCACTAGAAGGCACTGTTAGCAATGATAAGCTGCAGAAGACCTGACTCACATGTCCTCTTTGTATACTTAGGAACACACACTAACTGATATATTAGGAACACACACTAACTGATATACAAGGACACATTCCGAGGTGAAAAAAGTTTGCAGATCTTCTACTTAAGTAAAAAAAAAAAAGTACCAGTGTAGAGATACTCAATTAAGTAAAAGTCCTGCATTCAAAATGTTACTCAAGTACAAGTATTAGCATCAACATTTAATTCTAGTACCAAAAATATTCATTTTACAGATTGGCCCATTTCAGAATAATATATATGATATGTTTTATAATGATTGATCATTAAAGTGTTATCAAAGCTGGTAAAGGTGCAGCTAGTTTTAATGATTTTGTATACTGCAGGGCAGAGGTCGCGTTAACCGAATATTTTCCGTCTGTGACAGATATTTTTTAACAATGACGGAAAAATCTGAAAGCAGTCCATCATTTTGACAGATTAGAACAAACTCAGAACAGCCCCAAAGCTTCCCCGCAGCGAGGCTCCGGTGTTATGCATGCCCGCCAAAAAGGAAATGATATTGTTTCCAAATCGAACTTTGCCGTACAAATCATTGATATGTCGCTAACAGTTCACGAGCGTTCTCTCTATCTCCCCCCAGAAATAATGCTTGAAGTGGTTGGGAACATAATATGGCATTTAATCACGGCAGCGTTTAGCTGAGTTTCTCCCGGTAGAAAACTCTCTTAGCATTGGAAAGCTGCGTGACGCTAGCAGCAACAGCCGTTCCATTTAAAGCTACGGTCACAGAATCAGCCTGTTTGGAACAGGGCTGTAAAAGAGGGGTATGAGCAGTATGAGGCATGGCTACAATGGGTGATCTGTTTGCTATATTAAGCAAAAAACTTCACAGACATGTTTTGTATAGGTATGGCCCTACAATATATTTTTCAAATATAGCATAATAGGTCCACTTTAAGTACAAGATCTGAGTACTTCTTACAGCTCTGAGTAAATGATAGCGGTAATAGCATAATATAGCACTGTGTTGATTTTGTCTAAAAATAGAGCTTCTTGAAGGATTTTATTCCAAAGAATGTTCTCTTTAGAATTAGTGAGTGGATAATTACATACTGTCACTTTCATGAAATGTAATTCACATGGGCGTTTTTAATTTCTTTGGAGTTACTTGCAGAAATGTGATTTGTTTTCACCACAATTTTAATATGGCACATGTTGAGCGGTTCCGTTACACCATGATTGTTTAAAACTCGGTTTGCAGAGGATGTCGAAGGGGTTCCATAACCACCATTTACATATCTGGACTGTCTTTTTTTCCAAGGCTTTTCCTTTTGGTTTCTCTTGCATGCCTTCATCACTTCCCATATTTTGCATTCAGCCATTAACATCTGGAGAGGACACTCTCTTTTCACACTAAAGGGGACAGATCCTGAGAAAAAAAAACGAGGTCACGAATGAATCCAGCAGCCGCAGAGAGTGCCCTGAGTGATGTTTAAACTCCAGGCCGAAATGACTTGTGGTGAGTCAGTGTTCCCTCCAAAACCAACAGGAGCGGCATAACCCGGCGACAACGAAACTAAGACATAAAGCCGAGCTACTTTGGCCGAACCTGGGCAGCGATAATGAACGGGATTAAGGCGTTAAAGCAGCGTGGATTAATGGTGCATCCTCTAGCTGGGCATGAGATGGTGGATGAGGATGACAAATTACAAGGAAACTATCCACCCGGTTCAAGCTCCAGTTGAGGATGTCCAGTACTCATCGTGTAGTCATCACTTAGAGGACACAGTGTTCTTTTCCTGTCTCTTCTCTTTATTTGCACAATGAGAAATCTTAATTCCCCAAAAATCTGTGCACGCATTAATCCATCCGCCCATCCCTCGGTTTTATTCTGTCATCAAATGAAAAGTGCAAATTCTTGATGATTAAATTACTACTAATGAGAATGATGAGGAGAGAGATATTTGTGAATGAATCACAGTGGAGGGGATTTCTGATTGAACTTCCCCCATGCTTAATTAGTTACATCATAATGTTATGGCGCATTTCCATTGCATGGCCTCGCTCGGCTTAGTAAGGTATAGTTAGGCCTTGTTAGGCCAGGCTCACTTTATGCTGCGTTTCCATTACAGTTTAGTAGCTGGGGCAGTAACTATAGTAACGCAGTGTAGGCGGAGCCGTGACGTCATCTTCAATGCGAACCACAGAAAAACAACATCAGCCGTTAGCTGTTAGCTCCAAAACAGCAAGCTCTTACTTGTTTTTGTCTAGATGAAAACCCTCAATTTACGAAACTCTTGCTATGTTGGTAAAAGTTGAGCATTGGCATAAAACGGTCAATTAATAAGTCGTGGGGGAAACGAGTCTCACAAGTGTTTTCATAAAGTTTGTTCAAATCCAGGGTTACCGTTTAGACTAACTTTCAATCTTGCAACATTATAAGATAAATAAAACATAATAAGATATGGTACACTTTATTGATCCCAATTTGGGAATTACTTCCGTCACAGCAAGATGTAAACAAAGCATTACACACAATGTGAAAATGAAAAAAAGTACGAAAAAACCGACATTAACATAACCTCTAAACATCTCAAAATATAAAATAAAACAGTGTCACATATATACATATTGACAGTGAAAGATATACTTCTGAATACTATCTACGCTATGAAGGGCCAATCTAACAATAAGAAGGATACTGTAATATTAACATTGAGTGTGCAAGAAATAGCCGACTAAATGACATATCAATGTACAAGGTATAGTGTGAAGACAATGGACACATTATAGTTTTTGGGCACTTTACTCCCTGCATTGAAACTTGTGAGGACCAAAAGACAACATAAAACCTCTGTGGCTCAGCTTTCTGACCCGCAACATATTTGAGATGCCAAACCCGAGAGACTGTTTACAAAATACTCTTATTTATGATAACATTTAAATCAAACTATGCAAGCCTGGAGGACTGGCCAAAAAGATAAGGGAAGCCTGGGCCAGCCAAACCAGGGGGAGTTAAGGTCCTTACACACCGAGCCAATTTTCGGCGTCGATAGATGTAGGGCCGTCAAATGAGCGTCGTGTCGCCCTACTCAGATTGGTGTGTACTGCACCGTTGTGTCTTTTTGGCCGTGCCGACACCTTCCGCCGCAGATTCGACATGTCGAATCGGTAGGTTGTCGGCCAAATAAATCACTCTGATTGGCTGTTCAGCTAGCGAATCAGTGCATGAGAAGCGAAACGGAAGTGAGGGACCCAAACAAACTATTAAGAAGGCAAATCTGAGATTTCATTTAACTCCAGCTCTCGACAGGTTCGGGAAAGCCCCATGAGCTTCTCGTTGTAGAGTGAAAATGGAACGCACACGCTATTTGTTGTTTGTTTATATCACGCAGTCTGTTCTTCTTCTCTCGGTTATCACGCAGTCTGTCTTCCAGTTGTTGCCTCTTTTGAATGACGAATACACACTACCGCCGCCTGCTGGTAAGGAGAGTTATTGCCACTCACGCATGCGCAGTTCGTACGTGCAACTTGGCCGTTGGCTGAAGTCTTTGCGGTGAGTTCCAGTGCGAAAAATGGCCAAGATGCAGGAGACGTGAGGCGACGTTCCGTCGGGACGTGTTCTTTGGTGTTCTTTGGTGTCAGTTTGGTGTGTAAGGAGCTTAAGAGCCAGAGCTCCCCCTGCGTAAACTAAACAGTTAAAACTAAACAACGTAACAAAGCTGTGAAAACTGGAATACCAGACCCTCCAGCCCCGAAAGAAGCAACAAAAAGAAATAAGGGCAAACTAAACTACTA